GGGGTTATTATGGTCATACGAGCGTGTGGGGTGATTATGGTCATACGAGCGTGTGGGGTGATTATGGTCATACGAGCGTGTGGGGTGATTATGGTCATACGAGCGTGTGGGGTGCTCCCTACCCACAACGACGGCGGAGACGCCCCAGCCGATGGCGTAGTAGAAGCGCATGTGGCCGTGGTCGATGTTGCGCAGCTCAGTCAGCATGCGGTAGACGTGCAGGCCCTCCACAAACATCCAGGCAAAGATGCACACGCAGCAGTAATGCAGCAGAATGGCCACCATCATGCAGACGAACTAGAGAGTAGGGGGGATGGTTAGAAGGTCTTGAGATGGAGAGCTGCTACTGCCCTGATAGAGTAACCCATAATGGGGGAAGGTTTTGTCCACAGTATATGCCCACAGGACCACTGCAGCCCCCCCCCCTTCTGGTGAGAGTGAATGTTGCCCTATGACCCCAACATAAAGGAACCAATCAGAGCTGATCTTGGGATAATTCTCCCGCCTTCATAGTGCTAGTTGGAAGCTGAGAGGCTGGTTTGCCAGCCACTCCAATCCCATCTGTTTGCTCATTGTGATCAAAGAACCTTTTCTCAATATGTATTGTTAATGTAAATAAATAGTCAGTGGTTTCACACAGACTAAAAAGCTTCTCTGTAGGCCTTTGAAATATTTCCCTTGGCTGATGTTCCTGCGACAGACTGGCTAATGGTATCTGAAGAGTGGCAGCAAGCTGTCCAGGATGAGACCTGCGTTGGAGCCAGTGCTCCCTGGGACTGGGAGTCTTCAGACATTATTCTGCATAGATGTTGCATGGATGTGTGGGTAGATAAATAGATGGGTGGATTGATGGACGGACCAGCGGATGGATTCGGCGTGTGGGCGCTTTCTCACCGGGTTGTCGGTCTGGTTGATGCCGATGAGGAAGACGAGCTCAGAGAGGAAGAGCGCCGCCACCAGGTTCTTGTGGATGTTGTGGAGGTTGGATCGCACCTTGCGAACGGCAGCCAGTAGGATGAAGGTGAGGAGCAGGGCCAGCAGTGATGCCGACACCGCGGTGTAAGTGACAATCTTCAGGGGCAGGACGTCCCCATGCTGGGGGAAGTGGGGGTGTTAGAACAGGGGGGTCTTCATAAAAGACTTCACAACAAGACCCCAAAATCTGCATTTAGTCATTCCTAAAAAAAAAAACCTGGCTTCTTAATATTCATGAATATTATATGAATCATAATTTAATTATTTGAAAGTATAAAAAATATGAATTTCAGTATTTTCCCCTTTGAATACATTTATGGTATAATCCTGAACTCTCTACGTTAAACGATGTAGGTTAACGTGCAGGAAGAGCACCTCTCGCTTAGAGATGTCCATGAGCACGGCGAAACTGGTCATGTGGTTACACTGGCAGCTGATGTGGGTGGCATTCCTGAAGAACAGCTCACAGCCCTTCGAGGACCATCCGCCCGTCCCTCCAATCCTGCACCACAGCAATTAAACAATGTAAGCCTCAATGCTATATCTCATTGCTAGACAACACAGTTCAAATTTGTCATTTGTGTGATGAGTTGGCACCTACGCAATGGAATGGTTCCAAAACACACAAATAGGTTTGGTCCGGTCCTCAGTCTTCAGCAAGGTGTATTCCAAGATGACTGGCTTTTCCAGGAGGCTCGGCAAAAGTCCCCCTTCACTGTGGACAGCAGTGCTAACGATGGGGGTGTTGATAACTGGGCGGGTAGGCAACCTGGACACAAAAAGATGTTCTTATCTGCTGATTACGGCCTGAAGCTTCAAAGTTATAGTCCTTAGCACATGGAGTTCCATGTCCCTACGGAAGGAGAGGGGCACCTCAAACTCCGACGGTCTGGGTCATAGTGTTCTGGTAACAGTTGGCCCAGTGACCTGTAGATGATCACCATGGCAACTGGAAGAGGGACAACATTCTCAGCATCACGTCTCTTCTTGGTGCGGCCCTTGGTCTGAAGAGAAGGATCCCCTCTGTGTTCTACTGTGGAGAAGCACGTTGAGAAGATGCTGTGGAGCTTATGGAGCGAGAAGGTGAACTAGCTGCTTAAATTCCACATGGACAAGACCTTCAAAATTCTAGGAAGTCTTGTCACTGTAAGTAGTTAGAACAGCATTTCTACAGGGTCCAAACATGCCAGTATTGCTCGTGTCTTTTGGTTCTACCTTCATCCTGGCTGAATTTGGAAGTGAATTCCGGAAACCGCACGGAAGACTCCAGGTCTTTGGGATAAGCATTCTGGATATCCTGGAAACGTGGCATCTTGGCCTGGTCTTGATTGGAGGTATCCAGATAATCGACAGCAACAACTGACCAGAAAGGAGAAAAAATATATAAAGAGGACCAAGAAAATATATGCAAGGAAGACAGGATCACCCTGACGGGGTGCCAGTCTATCACAGGACACTCACAGACACTAATTAAAGGTAAGCCAGTAGCTCAGCAAACTGTGCCCATGTCCATAAGTTTGTGGGTTCGAATCTTGTGGCTAGCAGAGTGATTCCATCATCACTGAGACATAGCGTAAGGAAATTAACCCCAACTGCTTTAGGGATGTTGGTCACTGGCTCATTCTACTCTTTGATCCCAGGCTATCCTCACATGTATGTCACTTTGGACAAAAGAAACAAAAAGCGCTATATAATTAGTCCTTAATCTTCCACCTAAAACCTTCAGATTGGGAGGAAGCTACCCCACGTACAAGCAGAGCCGAAGACAGCAATGGAACGTCGGATGTGTGAAGCCACATGCCTACCATGTGCTTCTGTTATCATAGCATGATGCACGTACTAATGCAGTTCTATTCATACTTGAAAAGTATCAAAGGAGCCCTCTACAGTTTCAAATGCACCATGAATGATGTCACCTTGGGTTAGGTATACGACTCACTCATATTTTCCGTGACAATGGTGAAAGGTTTCAGGTAGGTCTTCCTCATGTTCTGGACCATGTTATTGGCATACTCCTCAAAGTTCCGGAGCAGGTGAGCCGTTCCACCCTCGGATGTCTGGATTTGGTCCCAGTGCTCCTTATTATTTGGGTCGAGGACGGCACTGCTTGCTCTGATGATGTTCTGCAGCATTGCCACGGATATATATCAGTGTCCCAAACGCCGAGCTCATATGAGCATTTCATGTAAGATTTCCCTCTCCACAAACTAGCTAACCCTGCCCATCATACCTGGCTGAACTGGGCATCCCGAGTGGCTGCCAGGTCGAAGCCCTGCCGTTGGTTCTCATATCGCAGGACCCGCAGGATCAGCTGGTACGCCGTCCTGACGTCGTTTCCATAGAAGCGGCGCATGTGCTCAGTGGCATTCTGGAGCATGCGGGCAATGCTCTTGGATTTCTCTGAGTCCATCAAGGACTCATTACGGTGCAGCTCCTCATTCTGGGTGGAGATGCACAGAGAGAGAATCCCATGTGGTGACCTCAGAGCAGTAAAATAAGGGTCATAAAATTAAAGAGGAAGGAGGATTCATCACAGATCCAACATCTCCTCATTATCTACATGGAGAAACCTGATGCCCTTGAAGGTTCTGCTTGGTGAGGCACCCACCAGTGTCTTCAGCTGGGAGAAGGTCATGGTGGTACAGTTGAAGAGATTGGGAGGAAGCCAGCCCTTCTCGTCGCTGCAGTGTCGGACTGCTGTGCCTACAAGGTGGAGGGAGCCCATTCATGTGTGGTAATGGTCGTACCTCGCAGACCATTTGACCAGATGGACAACAATGACCGCTCACATGAGAGCCCTGCCCTCCAGAGGCAATGACCTTATTGGCTGATTGACGCGACTGACAACGGTCAATGAGAGCTCAAACATATGGACAGAACACTGCATTTAGTGTTATTTACACCTAGAGAAGTCTTGGCAGACCAAAAGCAAATTTTGAATAGGACAAGAACCCATCATCTGGGGGCCTGATTTGGGCTGTTTAAATAATCTTAAGGCACAAAATGACAAAACAACAAATGAGAAATTACGCTGTTTTACACTGACTTGAATTATTGGTTTCCTGGGTGCTTGCTTATTCACAAAACCGCACACTTCTGTATAACGGCTCTGAAATGTACCAAGAGATACTTGGCAAATCTCACCGAACGAGCCCTTTGGACAGTCTATTGCAGCTGGACGGCCAAACTTGGTCTTGGGCCACCAGATTCCCGCGTCGAAGGCCTTGGGGCAGCCATCGTAAACGACTGCGGGTGAAAGACAGAGCAGATGGCAAACAGACAGGAACTGGCAGCTGTCAGATTCCCCGTATCATTGTGGGGGAGACGCCAGGCAGTCAAACAATCAAAAGGAACTCAATCTGACAAGACATTTCAGTTTAAAATAAAAACACTTAAAATATCTTTTACTTATATTACCAGAACATTCAGTGTTATACTATACACTTCTTACCAATGTTACATTTTGAGTACTTCAAATATAATTACTAATAAAGAATAAAACATGATATTATTACCTGCAGGTGGCTAGGGTTACAAGACGACGGCAAGCGAGAATGTAAACGGCTCAACTTAGCACTGTCTTGTAGAAGACGCTCTCGGCTATGCAGGCTGATAAGCTAATAGCGTGATCCTTGGTATCTAGGACAAAACCTGCGCCACAGAGCACACGTACCCTCGCAGCCAGTGCCCGCCACCTCGGCGAATGGGTTGTCGCAGCGGTTGCACTGGCGCCCGATGACACCCGCCTTGCAGGTGCACTGGCCAGTGTGAGGGTCACATGTGCGGGTCTGGGCGCCCACCGGGAAGCAGTCACATGGGTAGCAGGTGTCTTCGCTCTCTGGCCTGTAGTGGTTATCCTGCACAATGGGCATGAGTTAGCGCCTGCTACTGGTCAGACTTTGTATTACAGTCAGCAATTTTAATTCAGTGTCAGATTTTAAGATAAGTGGGGGTTAACTGAATTTGCTGATGTAGTACAATCAAAAAATGTTTAATGTATGTTCCGTACCCCCCCCCCCACACACACTCCTACCTTACACCGGCATTCCCCTGTCGTCTTGTTGCAGTCAGGGTTGAATCCTTCGCTGACATCGCAGTTACAGGGCCCACAGACTGGGTGCCCCCACCAGCCACGAGGACAGGGCTGGTCCACCCTGCAGGAATGGTGCAGACTTTAAGAAGCCGGTCGCTGAGCCCGTGATACCTGACATACTGGCATAGGTCCTTCCTGCTGTGATCCCACTGCTTCTCCATAACCTCCTTCTAGTTACTGGGTGTAAATCTTTCAGTCATGTAGTAAAATTCTGCCTTCATGCTTTTAAAGAAAAACTTTTTAGTGGGGATAATGAAAACCCTTTAGCAACGAGACACTTCTTAAATGATCCATTTTGTCAAAGGAAAATAAGTAGGATTTATGTGTTGGAATATCACAGAGAGCAGGAGTTGTGTGTGAATGTCTCCCAAAATCTCTGGGTATGAAGCCCTCGGTTGGAGATTAGCAGGAATCAGATAAACAGGCTCCTGATTGTAAGCTGCTCATGTCTCTCTTCTGGTTTAGAAGCCAGGTTTTCCAGTGGTCTATATGAGTCTAAATAAAACACCAATGTTAGTGAATGGGATTCCAGACTTTCAGTTCAAAACAGCCAGTCCACAGCAATCTTCCCAAACACAGATCCATCGGCATGTATGATCTCGACCCTGTAGAGCACATTAGGTGAATATCAGGTATTTAAGGCTGTGCCAAAACCAAAATAGCAGAGTGGGTCTGTTCAACAAAATAAAAGAAGTGGATCATTTCACAGCAAATATTTTGGAACAGAAGTAGAGTCGTGTATGAAGGTTAATTAAGGCACGCAATAAAAATATCATGGCGTGTCATCTATATATACAGCATCAACAGTAAACACTACAGGTTGATCGTAATTATGTCCTCTGCACTGCTGAGCTGGGTTGCCAAGTTGGAGACCACAACCCTGAGGGGGATTTTAAAATGAGCACGTAAACGGCAAGCCACGACGTTTGCTGCACAAGGAAAGTCTTTGCAGCAGACCTGCAGCACATCAAAGGGAAATTCCAACTAATTAGACCCCAGTCCCTGTGTTATTCTCTGCTACTGGATGGCCATCTCAGACCCCAGTCCCTGTGTTAGTCTCTGCTATTGGATGGCCCTCTCAGACCCCAGTCCCTGTGTTAGTCCCTGCTACTGGATGGCTCTCTGACACCACAGTCCCTGTGTTAGTCCCTGCTATTGGATGGCCCTCTCAGACCCCAGTCCCTGTGTTAGTCTCTGCTATTGGATGGCCATCTCTGACCCCAGTCCCTGTGTTAGTCTCTGTATTGGATGGCCCTCTCAGACAGCAGTCCCTGTGTTAGTCTCTGTTATTGGATGGCCATCTCAGACGCCAGTCCCTGTGTTAGTCTCTGCTATTGGATGGCCCTCTCAAACAGCAGTCCCTGTGTTAGTCTCTGCTATTTGATGGCCCTCTCAAACAGCAGTCCCTGTGTTAGTCTCTGCTATTGGATGACCCTCTCAGACCCCAGTCCCTGTGTTAGTCCCTGCTATTGGATGGCCATCTCAGACAGCCGTCCCTGTGTTGGTCTGCACAGATGCTATATAAACATAAAATGCCTGTCGAGAGTCTATACAAACAAGATTAACTGCACCCATACTACATAAACAACACAGTCCATGCAAACACAGATGCCTGCTTGTAGACTATAAGAAACCACAAAACACAGGCATGACTGCACGGAAACTACAGAAATGTAAATCACATGGCAACAGACACTAATTATCAACATTTTGATTACTTGCATGTAATTTTTTGGGCTTTGTTGGGACAGCATTCACACAGGAGAGGCTACATTAGACTCGCTGGATTGACAAAGCTTAGAGAGAGGGCAGGTGTGCACAGGTTTCCTGGCACAGTTAACGGAATGGCAGCTGGGTGCCTTGGGGCAGCAGCGGCGCAGGCAGCGGGACGAGCGCGTGTGAGGCGGGATCGCGAGCGCGAGGCTCGTGCTGAGGGCGTCGCCGGCCTCATACTTCTTCTCGCAGTACTGGCCGTAGTAGCTGGGTCCACATTCGCAGGCGTAGCCGTGGGCGGAGCCGTGGGCGGAGCCGGGCCTGCGCACACAGCTGGAAACGTGCTCACAGGGGTTCAGCTGACAGGGGTCCATGCAGTCCATCCCGAAGTAGCCTGTCGGGTGGGGGTACGACAGGGGGGGCCCCAATGTAAACAGCTGCTGGACAATGACAATCACTGATGCTGCTCTGTATTTTGTGATTTGCTCCTCAATGCTAAAATTCCCT